CATTTAGCCAAATAACTGACTGATTGAGCAACCCTAGCAAACAATATGACTTGAGCAACCCTAGAAAACAGAATGAATTGCCACAGCCAGGGGGGACCTACCTTTGGCAATTAATTACTCTGCTCTCTATACCTTAAGTAACGAGCTACATATATGTAATTACACCTTCACAGGGGTCAGGTCCCAGGCTTTTTTGCGCTCCAGTTCTGCAGATTACCTGGGCCAGCTCCATCTTTGAAAGTCTAGTTGCATCTAGTCTGAGCCCCTTAGGTCTGGGACATTTGTGCATCTAAGCTATGGATCTAGGTTGAGCCCCTAAGCCCAGCTAGTCTGCCACCAGCGGCGCAGGCTCTCCGCCCAGAGCACGGATCTGCTGCTTCAGCTGCTCACGCACCCGGAACTCAAAGTCCCTCTGCTCCCGGTGCCGCACGCGCTGTTCCTCCAAAGCCTGCAGGGCTCATGATGGACGACAAATACAAGGCCACCTACATCGAAAAGTTTAAGAATTTCCTTAACCTGGGCACAAATTTTCGACCCCCAATTTAGAACCCAAACCTCGATCTCCCTTTTCTGGCGCTTGTCCAACTTCTCGAGATCCTGCAGGGGCAGAGGACTTTTTCATATTCCACTCACCAGAACATCAGATCCTGCTACCTACCAGGAATTTCACCCTTACTAAATTAATGGACCCTAAAACCTTACCCCAAAAAGTATGAAGCATCACGGATCCCGCAACCCATGACCCAGGCCTCCACCTTGCGCTTCAGCTTTCGCTGGGACGACTCCAGCCTCTCCACAGCTGCCTTGTGATCCTTCCCCAGCATCTCCTGCAGGGGTACGCTGTTCTGCAGATTTAGAAGGTTCGGGCTCCAGGATTATTGTTGGGTGCCTAGGTTTTTAAGGCTTCAGATTTGCTTTTGCAACCACACGCCTTGAGCAGAGTGGTCTCCTTCTTGTGCTCCTTTTCCTTGTCCTGCTGACACAGAACACGGATGAGCTGCAGTTTGAGGTTGGAAAGGTTGAGGGTTTACAGTTGAAGGTTAAGGGCCGAGCTCCCGGGGTTTGATATCTAAGGTTTAGGATGTGGTTCGGGGATCAATCACTAAGTTCTGTAGCATGTTTCAGAATGACTCTGTCCTCCAGCGCTTTTTTCTGATCCTTTTTCATCTTCTTGATCAGCTCCTTCGCTGCCTGTGGACATGGTGTTTTAAGGACTAGGGGTGAACGGCACTGCTCGAGCGTAAAGTCCCACAGCATTCGGGCTCAGGGCTTAGGGTTTATTTATAGGGTCCAGGGTTACCGGTTTTAAGTAAGTTCATGTTTCAAAATCCCGGCCTGCAGCTCCCGCTGCCTGTCACCCAGCCGGGTCTCCAGGTCTCCCTGCTGCAGCCGGAGATGCTCGATGTGCGACTGGGCTTGGCAAGTGGTACAGGGTTTGGGTTCTAACTCAGTCCGACCCCTTATCCAAATCTTTGGGACCCTGATGGTAATCCTGATGTAGCTCCTTGGGGTGCAACATGAGCCCAACCGAAACTTCTATCCTGAAATATTAATAAACAAGATGAAACAGTAAATGACTTAAACAGCCACGCTGCCGTGCGCATCTCCCAGCGGTCTGTCTCCAGGCTGGCCACCTCCGCCACATGATCCGTCTTGACCTCCTCCAGCTCTTTCTCCTGCAGGGGCTTAAACAGGCAACCCTGAACCCTAAATCCTAAACTCTAAACCGTAGATTGGAGGGCCCAACAATTTCGGGAATTGAGAGTGTGCAGCCCCATCTAATCTAAGCTATCTGCCCTGCGTGCCTTGGAGATCCAACGGAGACTGTTTGTGTGCAGCCTCTCCGCCAGGGCTCTATT